TAACAGGAAAATGACATGAAAATGTACTAGGTTAAATACTGTTTTATCAGTAACATGAGAAAATATTTACTTTATTTTATTTTACGATAATTACCAAAACGCGTGGAAGTGCACATAATATGATATTTCATGTCCTCGCTAAGAACTTTTATGTAGGCGCTTAGCGACTTTTCGAGGAAAAAGTTAGAGGCGTCGTTTTGTTCAAGTATTCAATTTTTTTTTTAATATACGAACTGATTGAGGGTTTGGGGGTGCTAGGCCAATATAGAATTGTTATAGAATTATTTGATGCCATATATTTGCTTATACTATGTGTAGTAATAGATATTTATTGGTGGTCCTGCCGGGAAGAATGCTCCGCAGCAAAACCACATTGAATTAAAGTTTACAACGAAACTAGTGATATAGATATTTTTAAATAGGACCAGAATTTTATAGAAATGTTATAGATATTTTTGAAAAAATAAAAATTTATTAAGGTTTATATAAGGTTTATATAAGGTTCTGCCCCGGAGTATGACGCGATAAAAAGGTGGGTCGTCATACACGGCGATTTGTAGCAACGATGCAAACGCACGACTACATCGATACAAACGCACAATTGCACCAGGTGTTACTTTTTAGATTTTTTTTAAATTGACACAATATTACAGTAGCCAAATACAAAAACTTTCAATTTTCCTTTAGCCCATTTTACAGTTCAATATTAAAAATCAAATTTACGACAATAAACAAACACAAATTTTTTCACTTCACCAACCAACTAAACCCTTTCATTGAAAGTAATGACAATATTTGAAAAAGATAATTTGATAAAAAAATATAGATATACAAAACCATGTTTTTAAAACCACACTAACGACAAGATATTCTAGATAAAACATACTTCTCCGCAGCTTCTAAAGTCTTAAATATTCGACATTATCCAGTATTATGTTAAAGTCTCAACTCTGTTCCTCTATAAAGCAACAAAGACGTGGTTTAAAAACCCTAGAAAATTTGTAAGGTCGTATTGTAGACCATACAAACATATGTGAAGCATCAAAAGTCGCTGCCCTGTGCTACTATTCCAGTAAGACAAGCGGTAGTGCTAATATTTGTAAAATTTCAAAAAATTGTGAAGTGTGTGAAGATTATTTTTTGTTACATATTAATATTGAGATAAATAATGTTACAAGCATCGACATGAGCACCTGCTTGAAATTCCCCTGCAGCAGCTTGAGACCGATGTCGTAGGTGGGCGTTTCCACCCTGGAGCCGAAGCGCTGCAGCCCGTAGTAGTTGTAGAAGCCCTGCCGCTGCAGCTGCGTGCACGCCGTCTCCACGACGCTGTCGGGCGCCGTCACGTTGCGCAGCGCGATGCGGAACCTCCAAGCAACATCAATCCACTAGTTTCGGCTCCAGAAAAGATTATAGTCCCGGGCACGAGCTACGCTTGGGGAGCGGCCGCCACTGACCTGTTGCCCCGGAGCATGCCCAGCCGCAGGTTGGTGTCGCGGAAGGTGAAGTTGCCGACGCGGATGTCGCGCAGGCCGCGGCAGGCGCCGGCCACGCGCCGCGGGTCGGCCTTGCGCAGGCTGAACCACTGCGACGTCTTGGCGCGCCGGTCCTTGGTGCCGGCGTAGCCCAGCAGCGACGGCTTGACGCTGGCGACGAACACCACTTACACCACCAGCCCTGGCCTCCTCGCGGAACGTTACCAGAACGCGAACGCGCATACTTCAGTCGGAGCCGCTCGGCTATCCGCACGGCGGCGTCCATGGTGTCGCAATTTTCTTTGTGCACTATGAAGTAGACGTACTCGCCGGGCCACACCCACTTCACTCTGGTGTCTATGCGCACTGGGAACAGTCACGAAAAGCCTTAAGTATGTGTAACAGTTAACAAATAATGGCTCTCTTTGAAAACGTATGAAAAGCTAGCTGACGAACCTATTTGAATAATTATTGATACAAAGATGGAACACTCAGAAATAATTCGTCGACGTCTTCTAGCATACCGAGCCAGATGCTTTACCAACTAAGCCACGGAACGAACCAGCGGATCTCACGAATTTTTCTATGTGCTTGCGTCGTATCTTTGTATTTGGTTTTTCAACGACTTTTTAGCCTTTTTCTATTTGAATACTTAAGTTTTCTTTTTCAGTAAAATTTATAATAAGAGTAAGGTTTAAAATTTGATGCGGTAGAAACAATCTCCTGTCATTTGTTATAGATCTAAATTACTTGTACATATCACCCTTCCCCTGGCTCACCGTCATAGGGTGCGTAAAAACCTGGCAAATGCACCTGTTTGCGAAAAGCTCGTGAGCTACATATATAATGTGCATTATGATCAGTTTGCGCCTCTCACATGCTATATTTGTTTGTTTGTCTACTGTGGCGCACTTAACTAGCGTGTATGTAGCGCGCACGCAGCGCTTTCGCCAAGTTTGAGCACACCTATGACCTGAATAAGGAAAAATTTTCAATTATCAAGTTTTCAATCTTGAGGTTAATTTAGTTTTGTCCATGAGTGATACTTAAAAAAGTAAACTTACAACAAGTAATAGTGAACATTGTCTTGAAAGCTTAATAAGATTGTACATATTGTTTAATTACTATAAAAGTATCAGATACAAATGTTAGTTGGAAGTTAGATGAAGCAAGAGGTACATAATATACAACTCTCATAATAAAATGTGCATAAACATGTTCACACATATAAGCAATTGAGATGCAAGTATGACCTTGAACCAACCTCCTTTCCGGTACTTCTCAAACCGCACAAACTTCTTATCGTCAACATTCACAGTGCTGCCCACAATGCTGTCACCAAATGCTTTCTTCACTGCATCATGGATTTTCGTCCGTTGCTCCTTACTCATGCCTGTCACGTCTATCTGTAAGTGGAGTGAACTGTATTTATTTGACAGTATCTAAGGTATGAACTGTAGGAAACAGAGAGTTGTGTACTAACTAGTTCTATAAGTACTTGAGAGCAAACATTTCCAGACACGGATATATATCAAGTAGTTCTATTCTGTAAATTTATTTAAGTACAATTTACTTACAGAGACGCATGCATATCACATTTTTTTGGGTTTATATAAATTAGGCAATTAAAGAAAGGTAAAAACTATTCAATAATAGATACATGCCTCAACTTTCTCTTCACTAGGTTCAGTACACACAGCAATCTTATTAATTTGGTCCCAAGTGTCCATAGGCAAGATCTCGACATTATACTTGCAGAGAAGCAAGTCCTCATCTTCATCAACAGCATCCTCACTGGGAGGGGCAGGTGGAGTCAGGTCTGTTAGCTTTGCAACCTCACCTTGTTCATTGATTTCTGATACTTGGAAGTCTGAATACCTGACAAATTGAATTAAAAATTTGAGTAACAACTTTTGCTTTGAGGTGTGAATGTAATAATAATAATAATATGTTTGTTTCTCCTCAAAATCATGTACAAAAGGTTCTCAGTAATTTAAGATACAGTTACAGTTTTTTTGAAGGAGTTGGTGCTTGAATGTATCAAAGATATATTAAGATCATTTAAACAACTAGTTATTAAGATGCTGCTTATTTAAAAACAACATTTTTATGCTTTTTGAGAATATTGTTTGTGTAGTATGTATTGATGCATACATACATAATGCAAAGACTACATAAATTTCACAAACAATTTGCTAAGCTTACCTGGACTTGATAATCCCAGAAAATCCTTCATGGTTGCTGATATACTCTGTGACTCCAATTTCCTCTTCAGTGAGCCTCTTTCCCGGCGTCTCCCGTCTAGGCCTGTTCTTCCACTGTTGATTGCCGCCACCACCTCCTCGGTAGGCAAAACCACCTCCTCCTCGGTTGGCAAAACCACCTCGATTTCCACCCCTAAAGTTATCACCGTAAAAACCCTGATTGTTGAAGTTCCTATACCCTCCCCGATTAAAACCTCTCGCCCCACGCCCTTGTCCACCTCTGTACGACCCAGAATTGTTACCAAAAGGTTTATTACCCCAATTCTTCCAATTTGTACCTCTCCCGTTACTCATTTTATTTCGATTTTTACGTGAACTTAACCAAATATAACCTAAAAATTAACTTAACGACATACTTAAAAACTATACAACACACAACTAGAATATTGTCTCCATTAAATTAATGATTGTTTATTCTTACGATAATAAACGATCACTTAATTTTGAGAGAATTTATGAATTAACAGACGTGCTGCCTCAAAAAGCGGTGATCTGTCAGTCAACTAGCGATGGGCGAGGACGAGTCGAATAAAATCGTATTATTTAACTCGATTAACTCTAAGTACTCCCACAGCGAGTCAACTCGAGCTAGGTACTTTTTGAAGAACTTGACTTAACTCGGTTCGGTACCCGCCCCGACGACGACGAGCCGAATACTTCATTCACTCGGTCCGTTCGACGACTGAGTGAATGAAGTATTCCGACCGCGATTCGAGCGTGCTCCGATAGTACGCTCGAATCGCGGTCGGCCATGCCGATCGTGCCCAACTCGCTGAATCGTCGTCGGTTCGATTTTTTTTATTTACTGGCGACTCGCCATTGAGTCGGGTCAGCTATCACGTCAACTCGAGTAACTCGAGTTGAAAAAATACAACTCGTCCCGTCATCGCTACAGTCAGTCAACGCACTATTTATTCCACAATCTCTCTGCGTGAACTTATTTTTTTCCATCCTTGTGAACATGTGTCCCGTTGCCGTTGAGGAAGCTTTATTTCCTCGAGTTTCTTCTTCCATCCTTTATGGTTTCTTCCATCTTCCATAGATCATACACTCTATATTTTCTTCCTTGGCAACTTTATTTTTTACCCCAGATTTTAATGGCTTGGTAGTGTTAAACAAGCTATTCACCTGCATGGCAATCCGAAAATTTCTATTTTGAAAAAAATTATATTTATCAGAAAAATAAATAATTTTTCTGAATTTCATAAAATGAATTTTCAAACATAGAAAATTAATAAAATTGACCAATTTTTTTTAATGTTGATAGATTCAGGGTCGTATTTTAGAACTCTACTCAATGCTCAAGTCAGGATTTGAGTATGATTCAAAGCACTAGAAATCATACTCAAGTCCTTGCCGTTATGGTCGTATTTCCAGTGCTTGAAATCATACTCAAGTCTGCTCAAATCCTGACTTGAGCATTGAGTAGAGTTCTGGATGACGACCCTATGTTTCTCATAAGAATGATGTTCACTACCTAATTTCCGTTGCAATTTTTATTATGTATTCAATTTTTTACCGTGCTATATTGTTTAATGTACGTGTATTGTATCGTGAAATATTATTTAATAATTACACGATAATATACTTGAATAGGTATATAAAAAATAAAAATTGTCACTGAAATTAGATAGTGAACAAGTCCTAAAATGACCGTTATCATTTTATTGTATTGGAACAAAATAATTGGGACTACAGAAGTTGGTCAAATTTAATAAAATGTTTATTCATTTTGTATGAATTTTTTTAAATTAAATTTGATCAACTTTTGCTATTTAATTTTTTTTTCCATTACAACCAAGTAATCCATAATTATATGGATAAGAAACTGGAAGCAGCTTTTTTAAAAATAGTCAATTTTATTAATTAAGTATGAAAAAATATTTTGTGAAATTTTACCAACTTCTGCTGTCCCGATTTTTTGAATGAAATTATCCCTCATGATCAGCACTAAAAAAGTTTTGATCAATTTTATTATTTTTTGTGGACAACTCACGCTTGACCAAAAAATTTACTAGGTAGGTATGCCAAAATAGTTTTTACAAAAAAAAGAATGAGGCTCAACTCACACTGGCGCAGAGTCGAAGCGTTGCGACAGGTCACGTTTTTCACCTATAGTATATTCATTTCTATTTTCCCATTATTAAGGTACAAATTTTTGTTATGCAAATATGAAATCGTACGTCGACGCTTGTTTGAAGTCGAGCGGTTTCGAGCGTCGCCGGCGCGTTACTAGGGCGCACGCAGTGAGGCATCAAGCCTCAGACGCCGACCACACTGTGATCCGGGCGCGCTAATGCGAGCGTCGTCGTCGTCGTCGCGAGACGATGTTGTAGTAGGTACAAAAACAGGTCGCGACGCGACGCTTCGACTCTGTGTCAGTGTGAGTTGAGCCTTAATAGTTCCTAAAACCGTTATTATTCTAAGCCTAAAACAGTTTCCTTGAATCTTCTACCAGGTTTCGGATTTCTCCTTAATGTGACATTTCAAAAAAATACTGTATATCCAGCAGTAATATAGATTGTAATTTGCGTATATCTAGGTACCTACCTTATTAAGCATTCCATCAACTCCTATGGATCCGCCCTGGACCTTTTGGAGGGAAAAGTTTCGTTTTTATTTTGATTTTCAATTATTTTGTGAAATCTAGTATAAAGTGGAATAGGATAGTGCTATTGTGCCTTAATTGAAGATTAAAACGCGAAATTATACGAATCTCGAACTAGAATACCCGTAACGGCCCGTTTTAAGGAATCCCGAGTCAATCCAAGCACGCCGCCTCAAATTGCCTATCCTCTTTGTGGCGGCCATATTTACAGAAACATAATTAAACTTCATGTTTAGGCTGATGGCTTTGCCAAAGCCTTAATAAATATTAATAACAATAATAATCAACTCCTATTAATATATTTACAAATACCTTCAGGTCTGCAACACCAAAATTCAAAATTCACTTTATTATGAGCTTGTTCTCTCTAACAAAGTATGTAGGTACCCCCACAAAACATGTTGAATAGCTGGTCCTATTGGAACCGATAAATAATATTGGTACACTTGATACTGGCGAAATCTTATAAGGGCACCGCCGATAAATAAAAAGAAAAAGTTAACGATGGAGCAATAGAAAGATTTTTTACTTGGATTCTTTTTTTCCGCTGTTTTTCAATCAAATTATTACAAATCTCGTTTTACATCCTTTTTGCTCTTAGCTATACAGTTTTATTTTATAACTCACGCTAAATAACTTTTCAAAAGATATACCTGTCCTATCTAATTTAAGGACCGCCTATCGATGCCGCCTCCAGTAGGTATTGTACGTCCGTACGCTATAGACTGCTATATATTATAAAAAAAACATACAAAAATCAGTTAGTAATAAGAATCGTAAAATAAAAAATCCCCAAAATAATAACAATTTAATTAAAAAATTCACTCTAGGTAGGATACTTTAATTTCATTCATCTTATCAAAAACCAAGATTATTTAAAATTAATATAAAACAGGTTAATCTTATATGCTCAAACAATAATTTAATAAATGCCCAAAACGATTCAATATTCTTGTGAAGAAGTGTTAGTATTGGTGGTATTTTTAGGCCTGCCTGTCTTCTTGGGCACGAGGATGGGATTGATATTGGGCAAGACTCCCCCTTGTTTTATAATGACACCCTGTAACATCCTGTCCAATTCATCGTCGTTGCGTATCGCCAGCATTAAGTGTCGGGGAGAAACTCTGTGAAGAGTAAGTACAAGGCATATAAAAATTAATTTAATTTACTATAATTATAAATAGCTACATGTTTGTAAACTCGGTAGGCATAGTTATTTAAAAGGTTTTTAGACAGACTATATACTTATCAACATTATCAATGGAATCATTTGATTAATTGGGATATGAAGTCTCATTTTTAAATTCTCGAAAATTATCCACTAACCGGCTCCGTTGATTATCGTTGGCTGCCTTCACCGCCAGTTCCAGTATCTCGACAGAAAGATACTCCAACACAGCAGCAAGGAAAACGGCAGCGCCTCCGCCGATTCTTACAGCAAAATTGCCGTCTTTCAAATATCTGTGTATCCTACCCACGGGGAATTTCAATCCCGCTCGTTCACTTCGTGATGTTGGTTTGGTCTTTAGCTTCCTTATTTTACCTAAATAAATATTATAAAATTACATTCAAGTAGCAAACAATAAATTAACAGTCCACACAGGTATGATGCCCCTACCTATTAAATTAAAAAATATACCGGTTAAAATGTTATGTAATACTTAGAATGCTTACTTGGGCCACTCCGATCGGACATTATTGCTAATCAATGCACAAAACAATTATTTAGTTTTCATCAAGGCGATACATTTATAAAAGAGAATTTAAATACACATTTTGTAACAGACCAATGACTACTACGAATTGACACAGATTTGGTCTAGTGTAAAAGATCAAAGAGAAAATGACACTACGTGTCGTTAGACCTTTGACACTAATTTTGAAGTGGCGTAAAAAGTTCAAATACCGTCAACTACTTTTTTAACATATTTTCCTCTCACTTGTAACGTCTTATTCTTAGAGCATATATGACGTCTTATTTATTGCATAATAGTGTTATATACTGATAAAGATTTCATTCGTATTTCAATAGATAGAATAACAATAAACCTACCATATATTTAGTAGGTATGTATGCAAGTAATTAATGAAAAAAGTCCAAATTAAACTAAATGCTTTTTTTAGATTTAAAGACAAAGCAGAAACGGCTGAGAATTATAATAATTTGATTAAAGCAAAGTTTAATAATGATAACTTTTTTTATTTAAAAAAATCGTCCTCAAAGTACGCTATAGTACAAGATATTGTTGACCTAAAGATGTTAGTTTTTGCGCTTTCGCTGTGGGCGTTGACGCTTCTATCTCAATGATATTTGAAACGCAGATGGAAGACCTCGTCAAATGAATAATTGATATCTCAAACACACATAGCTGCTGTCACTACGCTGCCGCTGTTGAAGAGTTCCTCCCATCTGTCTGCCATTTCCATCGTCAGATCAGCTCTAGGTCACTATAACATTTCGTTTTCATTTTAATTACATCTATATGCATCTAGGCAGGTGAAATTCAATAAATAGGATTCATACCTTAATTTATCCCAAATAAAACCCATTAAAAATTCGGTTTACAAAATTAAATATCGGAATATCTTGTAACATACACACAAAAAGTACAGTCGAATTGAGAACTTCCTCTTCTTTTTAAGTTGATTAAAAATAAAAAACTTTTTCAACTAAAGTATATAAATTTACAAGAACGCGAAATCAACCTCGAACCACCATTTGACAAGTATGTATTATTATTATTATATAGTACGAAATGAAAAAATTACAATGAACTTATTTTTTATTATCAAATTAGACCTAAAATAAAAAAGTCAAATAATCAACCACTTTTGAAAAAACATTGTTTTATTTTGGAGATTTTACTAGTGTTCCGCTAAATGAGCCGGTGAGAATATTATGTGTATCATTCACTTTCCATTGCCTTGACATAAATGTTATTACAAGAAACAGGAAAAGATGCACTGAAAATCAAATATCATACTACTTAATTTATACAGGAGGTCCCACGGTTCTTGGACACGGAGGAAAGTACTTAAAATATTGTAGATTGGATATTTTGCTTCATGGCGATATTATTTGATTTTTAAAAGTAAGTCATACTGCATTAAGACTTTTAAAAAGTTGCTTGCCTCATCTGGTTATTGAATCGACCAAATGTAAAAAAATAGCCTGTATTATGATAGGATTATATACTTTTAAGGACTATAAATATAGCATCTTAAATTAGTGTCCCACAAACACTCTGTTACTCCCTGGTATTTTCAATTTTCATGGTATTGTCTATTATTTTCAGAAATAAAACCCACAAAACCAGTCTTGTAAATGACATGTAATAATTTTAAATACTGTAAACAAGAGATCTGATATTTTAATTCCTTTACTTTAGGTACATTTAAAGTACAGTCAGCAAAACAGACATTCCAAATTTTCATGAAGTTTTGATAAAAGTACTGTCACTGAAATTAACTGTTGTTGCCCGGCCTCCATTTGCCAGTTGTAAAACCGTAATTTTAATTTCGTAATGCCGTCGACATTACAAAATTAAAATAATCTCATTTCCAATGAGTTGTGATTTCTTTTGTCTAGGAAAACTGACACCAACAAATTCAATGGGTTCTGTTAGCAAAAGTAGACCTTTTGTTGACTGCACGAAATCACAATAAAGTCATCCTAATTTTCTAAAATTAAAAAACCATATCCAGAGCTAACATATTCAATATCTGTAAGTGTTTCAACACTACAATAATTGTAACTGTTTTTAAAAATTAAATGCATAAAAGTATTACATAAATATAAAATGCAACCTACGAATGACTTTAATCATACGAAAAACTAATCTATTTCAAGTTACATTATAAAAATAACCTTTTACAATAAAATACAATAGCAAAGGAACATAATGGTTACAGTTAATGAAACATAATCAATATCACTGCCTAGGGCATGTTGAACTATACGTAGATACTAAAATTATCTAAAACTATACTTTAAAAATTAGAAATACTTTTCTATAAACAATAAATCGATTTAAAATTAGTAGCACATCAAAAATAGACTCCAAATTCGGAAGTTCGGAGAGAAATATTTTGTTAATGATGTGCGATAGAAAGATATTAGTTTCAAAGGTTTCCAGATTGTCAAATATTGATACTAAATTTATTAAAATATTTATTAGCATTAAGTTTTTTTAATTATGCCAAAAAATGTAATACAATTTTTGTTTGTCACAATCCTGTTTTCATGCAAAAGATATTACAGTTTTGCGTTTACGCTTTAGTGCTTTTTTTTTTAATTGTGATTAATTGAAGGTTTTGCTTGTTGAACAGTATTGTTGTTCCTGTTTTTCTTTTCAGTTAAAATACATTTCATGTTAATCTGAGATCTTCATAAGCCAAAAAAGTAAAACTACGTAATAATACGATTAAATTATTACGTAGTAGCTACTCGTAATAATCGAAATATATCTAACTAGTTAAAAATATTATAAGCGAATAAATAAGAACATATAGAACCAAAGACATTGCACATCAAGAGTTGTAAAAATAAAAAATATATATTTTTATACAACCGACATTGGTAAATTCTTAAATCTGTTACAGATCGATCAATTTATCCGTAATAAGGAAATAGGACTAACGTTACGATGTAGAAAAACGTCAAAAGAACTTTCAGCAGCGAGACACGCTAGCGACACAACTCATATTACAGAAACCGGCAAACATCTTGAGCAAAAAGTAGTGTAGTAAAGAGTCGGCTCACGTACACTTTCGTGCAATATAATTATCTTATTTTTTTATTTTTCTGTCTTTCTGGGAATCTGCAAAAAATACAGCTTAATGCGCGCGACTGTATCCGGGATTTCAGTGAGACGTAGACGCAGGAGGCAAGAGTCGACTGATGTAACAATCGCGCGGTCGATACAATACTCTCCGACTTCGCTAACCGCACTTCACTATCCAAGAGACCTAAAATGCATTTCTGTACATTCAAGGTCATTTACTAAGATGTTTGCCGGCTTCTGTACAGTAGCTGATCTATCTGTACAAAGTTAAAACAATCGAATTTTTTAAATTCGTCCGTGATGCTTACGGGAAATGTAGTCAATTGTAAAAAAACATATTTTATAAAAAATATTCGAGCGGGCTTACGAAAATGAGTATTTTTTTTATTTCTAAGAGTGCTTTTTGTATATCCAGCTGTAGTAGGTATACATTTGGCAGTGATGAACGTAGCACAGGCGTTAATACTTCAATAGATTATATTGTCAAATTTTTAGATACAGCATTGGTCATCGAAGAGTTAAAACGAAATATAAAGTTTAGAATAACCTATGAGCAATCGATTTCAAAAATTTCTTACTTCAATTAAAAAGAACTTCTAGGTATATTTTACAGTAAATTGGCAACAATTAAATATAATATTATAGCAAATTGCATAAATTTTTCTAGCATACACGCACGCACGTCATATAGTGGATATTCTGTCCCATTTGTACAATGAGATGAGGGAATATACACAACCATTAAACAGTAAGAGCTCTCAAACACCTGGCATGCAAGAATTTAACAACTTCAAATATATTCTGACGGTTCACCGTTCCAACCAAAATAATAATCTGAACACGTTGTGCACAGTAGTTGCTATAAATTAATCTTACAATCTATTTTGATCCCGCTGCCATTAAGCTGCATCTGTACATAAAATTTTGGGATACACTCTCTCGAATCTAAAATTTGCTTTAACATACCCAAAAAACTCGAAACAGGAGTTCATTTGTGCAATTAATCAATATAAAAAGATATAATTTTGCGAATAATCTGCAAGAGGTGAATCTTCAAAAACTTGTATCAATGCAAAGGGCTTGACTAGTAATACAATATTGCTCACACCAGACTGTGGTTACATTTCACATTAACATGTCTCATAAAACAGCATTTAAGCCTTTACATGTTTAAATAACTGCAATACAAAAGTTTGTAAAAGCTTTAAGATTAAGAACTCAACGAGCTGAGAGCACTTGGCTTATTATCACATATTTTATTATCAGTCGAATGCAGAACTAGTTTCTGCATTGGGTCTAGAATTATTTTAGAATTGTCAACATTAATTTGTTTATCGCAATCAACTTCTGTACTATCCGAACATTCCAATGTTTGGCCACACGTTAACGCGCCATCGTTGGCTTTATTGTCGAAAACTGGGAAGAAGTCAAAATGGGCTTTACCATTACTGACTTTTGATTTATCTTTAGAACACTTTTTCTTGTCAGTTTCTGATTTAATTGGTTTGTTGCGTTTAGGGAATTCGTCCCAGCCTTCTTTGGTTTGTGCTGGGTCAAAGTCTGTTCCTAATGAGCTTGACGGTTTGGTTGGTTCACTAGAGGCAAATTTTTGTTGTATTTCATTAATTTCATTATGATTTTCTCTAGTGGACACTATTTGTCCATAGACAGGTGTGCAGTATGTAGTATTGTCTGAATTACTGCACTTGCTTTCCCTTGAGCTATTGTTTAGTTGGCAGTTGTTCATTCCGGAGTCAAACTCTGACTTCTGTCCAGCATTCAGGAGTATTTGTTTGGAGGATTTCACTGGTTTCTTCTCGCCCCGAGTTGGCGAGTTTTTGTCTTGTTTTTCTCTCAATTTGTCATCTTCATTTGGATCTTCGACGCCAATTCCGTCGATGTCGTACACCTGGAAAAACCAAACAATGAAAATGTAGTTAACATTAACCATTTATACAACGATGATATCAAAGAAGCAGCACTAATGATGATAAAAATGTAAACAAAGATCTTTACGCGATAAATGAAAGACTTCAAAGATTTGAAAACATTTGTTACGTGTCAGTGTTTCCCACAAAGTTTAGCAAACTACTCCTTAATAATGGTTGCAAATACCAACAAACCTTATACATAACATCCTGATTCATTCCTTTCTCCCGTTCCCGCTTGTTTTGGACTGCGAGCCAGACGTCCTTTAGTTCTCCAGCTAAGTCCCGATCCTTAAGGATAACTGGTTCTCTGCCTAATACTAATCCAGGGTTCATAGCTTCTACAAAATCGCACAACAGACTGACTAGCGCATCTCGATCCTAAAATATATTAACACATTGCTGAATTAATTAAATAATGCTTAAACATATATGTATACTAGGTGCAGAGGAGAGTTACTCAAATATATCTTCTCTCATAAGTAAACAAATTACATTTGAAATAACATTGATTAACATCTACTCGTCATTTGTAAAACAGATTCCCCTGAAAAGAACGAGTATAAAACTTTAGGAGCTGTTCTTTGTAAAGAAACATTTGTATACATGTATCATTTACAATGAACAAAGATTCATAGGTTAAAATCATGTTATGTTAAAATTTTTCAAGCAAGTGCTATACAGCACTACACTATGCATGTTAATTGCGACACGAAACCACCACACGTACCACTAAATGTGCCATCACAGTGACATGATATTGTTGCTAAGTATTACTAAGGACTTTATTGTTCATAGTTACATATAATAATAATAATAATAACGTACCCACTCAACATAGCCCCGCACTAGGGAAACCCTATGTCGCGGGTGCTATGGACACACACATAACCAACCACAAATTACACCCAAACTCACGAGAGAAATAAATGTAGGCCATACAAATATTTCTCCTGGCTCGGGTATTGAACCTGAAACCTCTGCGTGGTAGTCCGGCATGGTAACCTTTTGGCCACAGAGGCAGTTAGTTATAATTAGTATAGAGAATATAAAGATACAATTAGAGTGTAATAAGGCTACATTGATAAGAACCACAACCAAAAAACAAACAAAATGGAACATTACACTACAATCCACACTCAGGATCAAGTATGTCAATAGTAAAATGGCATTTTTATCACAATTAATAATAATTAAGTGCTAGACAACCATACCAATTATCTGGTCTCAAGCAAATGATTCTCCTGTGAATACCAAAGTGACAAAATTCACTCCAGAACAGTATTCAGAGCAGCAAGGTCTAAACCAATTTAGAAACATGTGTTTTCTAAATAGAGCCTATTGGGAATCAAAATCCACATCTAATGACCACTAACAAAGCAATTTATTGTATGAATTTCAATAAACATTTTTTTAAATAGCAAATCTGCATGAGGTGACCTAGTTTAAAGTCAAGATGTTTTGCAATTGTGAGTAATGTTTATTGCACCTGTGTAATGAAAGTGCTTATGTTTTCACATATTAAGGAACTGTACAGTACATACTTAATGAAAGTAATAGAATATTAAAATATAATTACAGTAGGGTTGCTGGCATTCTTTCCATTGGCCTTAAGTATGTCCGGATTAACCATCACTGCAAAGACCAGTAGAGGAGGACGGCTGCTGTTGGGACCGCAGCCTTGTGGTACCTGGACAAAACAATTTTTAACTTAATTTGTATTAACATGTGAAATGAATAATACCATTATGTATATATCTAATATAATAATATTATAGTAATTGTTACTTTGGGGAGGAAAGTGTGTAAACACTGAAGTACAAATTAAACAAGACAAGTGAAAAACAAACTATCTTATAAACATTTTCGATCATGTCCTTTATATTTTTCTAAAATCTAAAATAACGTAAGTTAAAGAAGCCCTATTTGGCATGTAAATAAAGTATGAGTACAAAAGTGGAAGAAGCTAACAAGAAGCTAAAAACATAACTGAACTACATGAACAACAATATTGATTTCTTTTTTAAATCTATTTTCAAAACGCCTGAAATGTTCCGGTGTTTATATCGGACTCATAACATACTCGTATGTATATAAACAACCCATCCTTTCTTATCTGTGATTACTCCCATGAGGAGCAACTCCTTATCAGAAAGCAAGACCTCACATAGGAATATAGAGCTTCAGTACTCTGTGTCAACGGGTTGCTGAGTCTTAAATTTAGCTCTCCTACCTGACCAATGTCTTTTAATAATTGATATTGGGCTCGGCACCCTGCTTATATTCCATTAAATGAAGCATGTCTTCCAAATATTGATAAAATTGACTTTTACACCCTTTCTTCACCAATATATTGTCAGGGATAGTGCAAATCCACATATGTAATATTATCAACATATCTGCACTAAACTGGATGGATGGATGGACTGATAACAATAGATTCCCATAAATCATGCTAATTTCGTTGCCACAACTATTACGCCGATTTGATTAGACGACTAAATTACCGAAATTTACGTTACGTTGTTACGCGTAATTGCGCTATCCCTGACAATATGTAATTTTTTCAATAAAAGTAATACAGTTGTCCCATCCAAGGATGACCAGCGGGTTGACTGGGCGCAAAGCAATCCTGACTAAATTTCTGATGAGAACAGATGAGTCCTCTTGACTATAACTTGTACAGACAGGCCATACAAACCTAAAATATGATAAGGAATCTTTATGAATATAATAACAATATGTTGGTGTTCATTAAGGCTGCTACTATATGGGCTGCATGCGCGACGTCAATATATACAACTGCATGCAGTCAATACTGACTGCAAGCAGTGTGAATCTAGGTTGGGAACTTATAATTTGTTGATGTCGAAATGGAAGCACAATCATTACTAAAATATCAATTCCTGCTTTTGATTTTCATACTATCTGTGTTATATCTACTACAGCTGACTCTTGCAATTGAAGTCTTGACTATTTGCAGTTGATCACAACTGCATGCATTAATTACAGACATTCTACTATATTTCCTTAATGGCGGCCACAAGGCTAGGGCCAGTATCAGTTTCGAATTACAGACATGCATTCCATCCGTTAACAGTGTTAGAGTGAGATTATTTTGAGAGAGATATGTCAAATAACAACAAAGATAGTGTAGGTAGTCTAAAAAAAGATGACTATTAATACAACTACAAAACATATTTCTAGATTATCAATAGACAATGTCATTGGTTCGGCATGTTTTTTACTGATGTCCAATGACAAATTCGGTGTAGAAAGCAATTGGCCCACTTACCTGCATACCTCCATACAGAGGGATAGGGTCTGAATAATGTTTTGGATTCACGATTTTCTGCCATCCTAGCACGTTTATGAAGAGTTTCTCTGAAGTTTCTTTGATCGTATCTTGTATGCACATATGAGGCTGAGGAGGATTCTTGAACTGTCGGAACGCCCGCGATCCACGCATATATTGAATTGGAACAGTCCTCTCGGGCAGATTAGAGCTTTCCATATTAAACTACTAAAAATATCAACACTGCAAAGTCTTTTCACAGCAAAATCACTGATATTTCATAAAGTAGATTACCAATAATCATTGACATACTAAAGCACTCGGGTAACTTGGATGTTTTGCGTTTATTGAACTCTTCGAAGCCGCATCGATACCGTAAACACCATTATATCACTCAATACTCAACACACGACTTTGTTTATTTAAATTAGCTTCTATCTACAAAATTTCGTTTAACACAAAGCTCGAAAATTTTAGAAAGGTGTAAAAAGAAAGCTTCCACAAACGAAACAGAAAGATTCTGGCTTTTTTTTAGTCTCAAGTGACGTTTCTAGAGAACCGGGAAAACCGCGTTTACGAAACCGTGAATAATAAAAAACGGAAGCGTCAAAATTGAAACCCTAGAACTGAATCTATGGGTCGTATTCTAGAACTCTACTCAATTCTCAAGTCAGGACTTGAGTATGATTCAAAGCATTAGAAATCATACTCAAGTCCTTGCCATTAGGGTCGTATTTCCAGTGCTTGAAATCATACGCAAGTCTGCTCAAATCCTGACTTGAACATTGAGTACAGTTCTGGAATACGACCCCATGGTCGTATTCTAGTACACTATTCAATGCTCAAGTCAGGATTGCACTGGCAACACAAGCACTGGAAATACGACCCTAATGGCAAGGACTTGAGTATGATTTTCAGTGCTCACTGCAATACTCATGTCCTGACTTGAGCATTGAGTAGAGTTCTAGAATACGACCCTAAGGGTCGTATTCTAGAACCTATTCTAGAACCTAAGGGTCGTATTTTAGAACTTTACTCAATGCTCAAGTCTTAGGGTCGTATTCCAGAACTCTACTCAATGCTCAAGTCAGAATTGCACTGGAAACACAAGCACTGGAAATACGACCCCAATGGCAGGGACTTGAGTATGATTTCGAGTGCTTTAAACCATACTCAAATCCTGACTTGAGCATTGAGTAGAGTTCTAGAATACGACCCTATGTAAAAGAAAGGCAAATATTATGTGGGCATTCAGCCTCAAATTCCAACAGTCCCTTGGTTTTAAGGGTTTTTCAAACTCCGTTCAGCCAATAAAGAAATTACATCAACAATTATGCCCACAGAACACTATACTCACTTAGGCCGACTTCGTTTGGGTCAGGCGTGTACTCCCATTCTCTTCTTCCTATCCTTATCCCACGCTAGGTGGGGTCGGCACAATATGTATTTTTCTTTCACTCTCCCCTATCAGCCGTCATTTTTATACTCGCACCTTTCTTATCCATGTCATCTTTCATACAAACCATCCATCTTTTCTTTAGCCTTCCTTTCCCCTTATATCCCTCCACATTCATACCTAGCACTCTTCTTGTCACATGACATTCTTTCCTCCGCATGACATGTCCATACTACGCTAACCTATTACTCCTCATCTTTTCCGTCACTGTCGCCACTTTCAAACTTCGCCTGATGTACTCATTCTTTATCTTATCCTTTCTCGTCACTCCACACATCCATCTCAACATTCGCATTTCCAATACATGCACAGTTCGTTCATCCTCCCTTTTCATCGCCCAACATTCTGATCTATACAACATGACAGGTCTAATCACGGTCTTGTAAATTTTCCCCTTTAGCTTAAGGGGCATTCGCCGATCGCAAATAGTGCCTGTGACCTGTCGCCATTTCATCCATCCTGCCCTTATTCTGTTTTTAACGTCGCGGTCTATCTCGCCTTCGTCCTGTATTAACGAACCAAGGTACCTAAAATCGGGGCAGACTGGTAGGGGGATACACCATCTAAGGCAATATTGGTAAAACTGGAGGCACCGCCAAAGTTGAGGAAAAGCTGTTCGGTTTTTGACCGGCTAATCCTCAACCCAACACTTTCCAGTCTTACCTGCCATTTTGCCAGTCTGCTCTGGACCTCAAGTGCGTCCTCCCCGACAAGTACAATGTCATCGGCGAACAGCACGCACCAGGGTGCCTCCTCCTGTATGTCCGATGTTAGAGCATCCATAATCAGGAGAAACAGGTAGGGGCTTAAAGCCGATCCTTGGTGCAAGCCCACAGCCACATTGAACTTGTCGGTAACGTCGGCTTCAGACTGGACGTACGTACAAGCTCTACTATACATGACACGGACAAGCTGCAGGTACTTCCTAGGCACTGTCTTCTCTTTCAACGCCCACCACAGCACCTCACGGGGTACTCTATCGTACGCCTTCTCCAGGTCAACGAACACCATGTGCATACGTCCATATTTTTCGCACAATTGACGAAGTGCGAATATGGCATCCATCATCCCAGTACCAGGCATAAATCCGAATTGGTTCCGAGTTATCTCATTCTCTTCTCTCATTCGTCTCGCAATCACTTTTTCCCAAACTTTCATACTATGCGACATGAGCTTTATTCCCCGATAGTTGTTACAGCCCTGTACATCACATTTGTTTTTAAAAACGGACACCAGCAAACTGTTGCACCATTCATCCGGGATCGCCTCTTCTTGTAACAACTTATTGAAGAATAACATTCCTACCGATGATTCCTAAGAATAAAATTCCACCCGTCTGCTTTTAAAAACTTCCATACTTCAAGTGGTATACCATCTAGCCCTACAGCTTTCCTATTTTTCATATTATTGACAGCTTCTTTTACTTCATGCATACTTATCTCTTCCACCACCCCTATGTTAATCGGTGAATTCTCTGACACTCCACTCCAGACATTTTCTTCATTCATTAATCGACTAAAATATTCTTTCCAGCGTTCATTTATCTTTCTATCCTTCGTCAAAACCTTCCTTTCATCATCTTTTATA